TCCGGGAAGATCCCACATGCCACAGAGCGGCTAGGCCCATGAGCCATGGCCGCTGAGCCTGCGCGTCCGGAGCCCGTGCTCCGCAACGGGAAAGGCCACAACAGTGAGAGGCCCGCGTACCGCAAAAAAAAAAAAAAAAAAAGATTCAGCTCAAATGCCACTTCCTTTAGGAAAACAATCTCTTATCAAAGATCTAAATTTTTTGAACCTTAAGCTCTTAGAGACTGAGATTTTTCTTTAAAAGGATCCAGTCATTCCCTAATCTGCTTTGGGATAGCTTCAGACAATTTGGGGTAGCAGAGGTTTGGGAACCTGGCCAGGGGAAGGGTGACCCTGGCAAGAATGCGGAACCCTGAGATGGAGGGTCTGGGAAGAGATTCAGTACAAAGAAGGAGCAGAGTGGAGAGCTGGGATCAGGTGTCCTGAGAAAATGTTTCCTGAAAGTGACAAATATGAAAAGTAGAGGGGTGCAGTAGGAGGCGGCAACAATTTTAGAGACAAGAGACTTAAATTTGTGACTAGTTTCTACTACTAAGCTGAGTGATCTTCTGCAAATCACTTTACCTCTTTGGGCCTCAGATTTCTAACATATAAAATGAGGATTAAAACCTGTGCCTTAGGGAATTGTTGTGAGAATTAAATGAGGTAATAGAAAAAACAAGCTTCTTTCTAGACCCAGTCCAGATGCCATCCCTTCCATAAAGTCCTCACTGAACCTACCAGAGGGACATAATTGCTGTTTTAGCTAAACTCTGGAGTTTTTCTTCTGTAAGTCTTTCATGGCCAGACCCCTTTCTACCTCATAAGATTACTAACAATCATGAGGGGGCTGTTTCAATGGCCTCTGAACCTCCAAGTCTGGAAACATGTCCAATTCACTGTCATTCTTCCACTCTTGGAAAGCTCATAGGAAACACCCAATAAACATATGTGAGCCAAATGAAGGGTACAATGGTACCCCCAGGGCCCAAGGGGTTTTATACATATTTCTAATCTCCCTGACTAGACTTTGAGCCCCTCCAGAAGGACAGCATCTATGGTGTTCATCTCTTTACTCCCAGTACCTAACACCTGGCACATAATAGATTCCATAAGTACCTGTGGAATGAATGAGTGATCTTGACATCTCCTTTGGTTCAACACAGGGCACTGTGAATTTCCTGATCCCTGACCACTCTGAAAAGGGTTGGGGGCCCTTTCTATGTGCTTCCACGATACTCCATACTTCTTCTAGTATAACACTTATCATTTTATTATAATTGTTTTCTCCCCTTACCAACTTCCCACCTGCTATGGGGCCTATAATACCTAGTGACCTATATAATCCCAGAGCCTAGCATAGAGCCTAGAACACATTAAAAATGTGTTGGGAAGATGAAGGGATGGATGGATGGTCGGATGGGGAAGACAGTCATCCAGTCAATCTGTCTTTCAGGAAATCCCTCTTGTGACCAATCACACCTATCTGCTAGATGGGTGAATGAATGAATGAATGAATGAGTAAACAGCTGCCTGGAAAATGTTAGAGAAGACGACTGCTGCAGAAAACTCCAGTAACTTACAGAATATGGGGACCTTGGTTCTGATCTGCATAGTACTTACTTGATCTTTGATCTTGGGAAAGACCTCTTGACTTCCTTTTTTTTTTGTTTCTTCACCTGTAAAATAGATATTGCACTCCTTCTTAGTTTGCCATTTAGAGCTCTTGAACTTTCTCATTAATTATATCCTACTGTGACCCTTTGATCCAAAATGTGTCTCACCTGGGGCCTAGAAAAATACTACAGGACTAAAGATCCCAGAAACAGATAGAAAAGAAATAGAGACGGAGACATAGACAAGGGGGTGGAACAAGAGAATAATTTTATGACAATGGGGTGGGGCTAGAGTGCTTAATAGGAAGTGCAAATCACAAATTAGAAAGGAAAGGATCATTTATATGACCATTTACACAAAATAAACTTATGCATGATAAAACCAGCAAAGACAAAGTTGAAAGGTAAGACACACACACACACACACACACACACACACACACACACACAGAATAATGCTTCTCATCTGCATACATTTGCTTTTTCCATTCCTTCAGTCTATCACACTTCTGCCCCTCTTCTTTGCCTGACGCATACAGAAGAACTTCCTGTATATCCCCCTTGCAGGTTGACCCTCATCTGTGTCACCACCTCAGCCCATCTCTTAATGAAGGCACCGTGCCACACTGTATTCTAATGGCCTGCTTACCTGTCTGTTCCCCACTCCTTACACCCTAACCTCAGTGAGCCTCTCTAAGGCCAGGCCTGGGTCCTACCTATATCTTTATCCACAGCACCTCAAACAGGGTCTGGTCCATTGAAGAGACTCAATTGAGTGCTTACTGAACTAAATGGAACCGTGAACACAATACTATGGAGTTCTTCATTCTGTCTGCAAAGAAGGAAGAAGGATCAGGGAAGTTTCACAGAGCAGGTGACATTAGAGCTGGGTCTTGAAACATAAGTTAAAAAGCTACAGAGGCATCTGACTGGATTGCTTCACAGAGGTGAAGAAACTGCATCTAATAGTTTTTAGTAATAATTATGGTCACGTGGGTGTTAGCTTTATCAAGACAGGTGTATTGTCTGCTATTCAGGGGTATGTGCCCAGTGCCAAGAACAGTGACCACTCCATAGTAAGTACTGTTTGTTCAATCATTTGGACACTTCTATGAGGAATTCACGGGGAGTTAAAAAAAAATGATGCAGTGTAGTAGATCATTAAGTCCTGTTATGTGATAACTCTAAGTCATTAGAGTAGGAGTTCCATGAAAGTAGGGAACAGGTCTTTTCTGATCCCCTAGTATCCCTTAGTGCAGTTCCAAGCAATGTTGGTGCTCAATAAATATTGTGTAAATAAAAGAATTAATAAAAATCTGGAATATTATTACATCCTAAAACTGTAAAGGCAGGGCAGCAAAGGTGAGATAGGTTGAGACCTGTGACCCTTTACTAGAGTGCCTGCACCTGGACAAACAACTCCTTGAACAACAAAATACAAAGAAACTCGAAGGGACTAAAAGTAACTGCATGCATGCACAGCTGGGGAAAATTATGAACAGTAAGACACAAAAAGGCCAAAAGCCAATTGCCACTTCTGAGGTGTTAGGAGCAAAAGCAGGGTACTGCCCATGACCCGTGCACACAGCACCACCAAGGGGGTGGGCAGAGCACCTAAGCCCCCCCCACCTCACCCACCCATCACCCCACCCTCACCCCATTTAAGGGACCAGCTCACCCGCCACCCCTCCACCCCCACCTGTTTCTTGTTTTGCTCCCTCCTGCTGCAGGACGAGTCCCAATAAAACCTTGCCTGAATTCCCCGCCTGGCCTCTTACCAATTTCTATTGATTAAAGAGTCCAAGGACCCCAGGTGGTAACAAAGGGAGCATGACACTGGTTTGATGTCAAAAAAAAAAAAAAAAAAAATCATCCCCAGAAAGCCCTAGAGAAAAGTGTCACAGCCAAAAAGGAGTCAGGCTAGGCTCACCCTCATTAAATACTTTCATTTATTTTTAGAAAGCAAAAAAAAAGGGTGGTTGACATTATTCCAGTGAGAGAACCTAATTCGAGAGGAGGCAGGGGAAAAGCTATTTTTGAAAATAAAAAGGAGAAACAAAACAGCAGTGAAAGAACTCCAGACACTGATGCAACAAATTCCTCTCAACCTCAGAGTTTACAGGGAACTGCAAGGAATATTAAAACTAGAGAGAGCACCTCCCGATTTGGGGGGAGCACATGTCTGCTGCAATCCTTCGAAAATCAGTGAATCCTACCACCTTGTTATGGTTGAACACACGTTTAGGTTTGAAAGTTTAAAAGCTTTGAAAGCTAAAAGTAGCCTGAAAACTTGCTTGGAAAACACATCAGATGATTAATCCCTACCTTCAGTAAACTCTTGTTTTCAGAACAGGTAGGACTCCGGAATTACTATCATCTAGGGGCTTCCCTGGCGGCACAGTGGTTAAGAATCCGTCTGCCAGTGCAGGGGACACGGGTTCAAGCCCTGGTCGGGGAGGATCCCACATGCCGCGGAGCAACTAAGCCTTTGCGCCACAACTACTGAGCCTGCGCTCTACAGCCCGTGAGCCCCAACTACTGAAGCCCGCGCGCCTAGAGCCCGTGCTCTGCAACAAGAGAAGCCACCGCAATGAGAAGCCAGCGCACAACGAAGAGCAGCCCCCGCTCGGCGCAACTAGAGAAAGTCCGTGTGCTGCAACGAAGACCCAACGCAGCCAAAAATAATAAATAAATAAAATAAATTTATATTTAAAAAATCTGGCTGCTAAACTAGGTTCTGATACATGCTATCTGGCCTTGGTTAAGTGCCTTAGTTTCCTCACCTGATTGGACCGTTAGGAGACTAAATGAGAGAATGGATATATACGCAGTTAAAACAGTGCCTGACAGGCAGTAGGCACTCAGTGAATGTGAGTTCTCTGTAACACGAAGACAGTGCTAGCAGCTAAGATGAGAGTCACCAAAGAACCAGTACGTACAGTTACAGGGCTAGAAAAGGATGAAGGACGAGCTCCTGCCCCCTCCTTGCCAAACGCTACATCTGGGGCGGGGGTGACTCTAACCCGTCACGCAAACTAAGTTTCCAGTTTCCAGCCGCACCTGCCTCCGGCGTCGCTTCCGCCTCCGAGACGTCCGCGGGGTCGACGGCCCGGTCTGGCGGGATGCGCGCCTGCGAGCCTCCCGGGGAACTCGGAGCCGCTCCACGGTGGCGCCTGCCACTACCTTCTCCACTCCTTAGTAACCGCGACGCGGCGGCTGCCGGAGTAGGCGGCAACTGATGACTGGAGCTTCTAATTGCTACAAGTTCCGGCAACCCCGCGGCCACTTCCGCTGGCAACCTCGCGTCAGCCAGCCCCAGCTACGGATCCCGATGGACTCCGCGCGGCACGTCAGGCCGTCAGCTCCAGCCAATCGGCTTCGGACAAGTAGGAGGGGAGGGAGACGCAGAAGCAAGGAAGATGGCGGCGGCGGCTGCTCAGGGAGGGAGAACTGGTGGTGGCGGAGGCAGTAGTGGGGCTGGCAGTGGTTCCAGCTGTGGGACAGGCAGTAGCCGCAGCGGCTTGCTGGACAAGGTGAGAAGTCGATTACTGGGGGCAGGCGAGGCCTGGGGACGCCGGCGAGGCGGCGAGCCCCCTTTCCCATCCTCGCTCCCCTTCTGCGGCTTCCCAGGGGGAGTTCTCGTCTGGCCCACCGTGGGAACCCTACGGGCGCTTGTAGCCAGCTCCCTACACACCTCAAACCCGGGCTCTCTCCTCTTTAGGACTTCTTTACTTCTCGGAAGTGTTCGGTCCTTAATGCCGGCCACTACAGCTTCTTAGGAATATTCGATTATTCTCACATTTCAGTGCGGCCATCGCTTTTCCTTGGTGGTGCTGGGGGTCACTGTTGAATGTGCCCATTTCACCGACAGGGAAATGTGAATCCTGACTGAGTGAAAGCCGCTGTTCAAAGTCAGTAGCCTCCAATCTCCCCATCACGACCGCCACACTTGCGTGCTGCTACATATTCCGGAGTGCTCTTGGCCTTTTGCTTACTGAAGTTTCTAGGCGTTTTATCTCGATACCGCGAATACTGAGCTTCGAGTATTGACTTCCCCTACGCGCTGACAGGAAGCCTTTAAGATATATGTTTTTTCCTCTCTCCTTCGCCCTCCCCCTTTCTTCCCTCCCCCTCTCCACGCCAAGTGCCTTAGGTGAATCGTATTCATGAGCTGGCTACCTGCTCAGGCTTACCTCTTCTCCCCCTCCACCCATCCCAGTTGTGTTTTTTTGTTTTGTTTTTTGTTTGTTTGTGTTAATGTGGTCCTAACAAGGCTTAAAAGAAAAGAAAAAAGGAAGATTCTTTTCCTGGGTTGGCCCTTCTTGCCCTTTGCATAGCATCTTGAGAGAAACAGTTGCGAGTAGGTCTGGGTAGTCTGCCTCTAATTAGCTGTGTGACCTTGAAATGCGCTTGTTCTCCCTGTGTTTTGTTTCCTCATCTGTAAAATGAGGGACTTAGCCTTAATGTACCCTAAGGTTCCTTCCAGTTCTCTCATTGTAGGGCCCTAAGCCAGTTTGATGAGAAATGTTAAGCATGGGGTCTTTAATGTAGTAAATAATCAGGATTGTTTAATTGAAAACAGCTTTCAGACTTCTCTGTGCTTAACACATGGTAGGTGCTTAAGAAATGAATACATGATCATATTGAGGGGTTTGGATCCAGATCTTTTTGCTTCTCTTTTTGGGTGTCATTGGTTTTGAATTACGTGGTTCTCACACTCTTAACCCTTCTTTAGAGATAGGAACGTGTTCTGGGAGTTGGGAATGGTAAACTGCCCCAAAGGTATTTGAAAGTGTTGAGAATTGATGGTCATTTTCATACACAGATCCTGCCTTCCTGCTGGGTGAACACCTCATGGCCTATGTTTATTCTGTCCCATTGAGTGCTCTTGCTTTTTGCTCCACTTGGATCATCACCAGCAAACGTTAAGTATGGACAGTCTGCTAAGGCAGTGATTACTGAAAAGTGTATGGCATCAGTGCGTTTTGGAAGAACCTGCTTTTGGGGGTCATAAGATTTGGGCTTTGACTTCGATCTGCTAGTTTCAAACTGTATGAAGATTGGCAAGTCAGTTAACCTCACCAAGCTTTCCTTTCTTCACCTGAAATATTAGGGTTTTGGGGAGAATCAAATGAGATGATATACGTTAATGATCTCTGTAACCTAGAGTATCTAATACAGAGGTGTGATGGCAGAGGAAAATAATCAAGAATCCTACTGTCAGAAAGTACTCAGTATAGCTGAGTATAGGACATGGGGTACCCAAAATATTAAACATAAAACTATTTGGTATTCACATGTGTACTTTTTACAGAAGTTAAAGTGAGAGAATGATCCCTGAGATCTAATAGATAATGGGATGAGAGCCCTAGGGAAAGA